CTTGTCCTGCTGTGGCATCCTTTACCCAACAAGCTTCAATGCTGCTGCTGCTGCTGCTTCTGCCCTTGCTCTTCAAGGGAATTCTCTGCCCTGGGCCAAGCCCAGAGGGTAAGGGGAACCCAGGTGGAAAGATACCTGTGGTCCGGCATAGCAGGGTGGAGAAAGGTTCTGGGGAGGATCTGGGGGCAGGGAGTAACGCTCCCCCTGGGTGCCCTTGTAATCTGCATGCCAGGCTAGTTCTGGGCAACATATCCTTGACCCCAGTCTCAGTTTCTCTCTCTGATTTTGGGGAGAAGAAACTGGATCAGGGGGAAGGGGAAGTGAGAATATGTGCAAACTTTATCTGCATTTCTTTTTTCCTAGATGGGCCCTTCTTCTCCCCTCCTTTCACCCTCTCTCCATTGTCATTTCTCTGTCTCTCAGCTGGCCACGTCCTAGGACCCCATCATCTAGCAGGACAAGAACCCCTCTCCTTTCGCATGATCCAGATCTTCTCCTTTGCCAACCACAGCTGGGTGAACACCCAGGGCTCAGGCTGGCTGGGCGAAGTGCAGACTCATCGCTGGGACAGTGTCTTGGGCACCATCGTCTATCAGTTGCCCTGGTCCCGGGGTAATTTTAGCAAGGAGGAGTTGGAGAACATCCATGTGCTATTGCAGCTGTACTTCAATGGATTTCCCCGGGAAGTGCAGGCGTATTCCAGTCAGTTTCAGTTGGAATGTGAGTTTGCTATTCCAAGCTGGTTTTTGCCTGAGGGGCCCGACCAGGTGAAGATGGTATATGGGTTGGGTTCTGACCTTCATTCAACCTTCCTGACCTTGTTTTCTGCCTCCCTTCACTCACTCTCTCCTCTTTGCTTCACCCTTCACCGTCATTCCCACTCTACCTCACCCCACCACAAACACAGAAGGACCTGAATGTACCTCATATTCTGGCTCCTTGGAATAGCTGTCTCCTTCTGATGTTCTGTCCTCACCCTCAGCCTCAGACTCAGCTTTTCCCAGCCAGGATCTGCTCTCCTTTCTTCCTGGCCTGAGTGTTCACACGGCCTAACCCTAACCCAAGCCTCCCAAGTGAGCTCTTTCTGACAAGTCAGCTATATTTCTAAGTCTTCCCTTCTAACCTTTTCAAATTAATTATTATTTTTTAAAATAACAATTCTTTATTGTTGAAAGTATTACATATGTACCCATTTCCTCCATTGACCCCCTCCAGCCTACCTGCACCCTCCCCCAGCCCCCACTGTCCCATTGTCTGTGGCCA